GCTTCACAGGCATCTTTTGATTGCACGCGTGCGTTGACACGCTGGGGCGCTCGGCCCCGAGGAGCCAGCAACGGTTCGACTTCCTAGGGGCAATTCCGAAGATGAACACACTTCGCCCCCCAAGATCATCACGCTAACCATCCTCGTCCCCGGCATCCTCCTTCCATCCGCCCTCCTCGCCCTTCGCATTCACCCTTAGCCCTCTCATCCTCAAACCTCGTCATGTTGTCCTCCTCGTATTTCCGCCTATGGCTGGTAGAGATGATGGGCGGCTGTGATCAGGAGTGTGATGATGTTAACGGTGACGGTGATGCTGATAGTGAGCGTAACAACTGATGATGATGATGATGTTCATCATCATCATCATCAGCAGCATCATCATCACCATCATCATCACCATCATCACCATGCTGATGACGAGGGTGAGGTCATACGCAGCAACATCACCATCATTGCCATTGCCATCCATAGCCATGTTGGCTCACGTTCCCACGCAGTAGAAGTATATACTACGAAGCATGTCTGACCTCGAACGTGAGCACCTCTTGGAGCTAGAGCAGCAGGGTGATCCTTTCGTGGAGGAAGGTGCTAGCTCTTCGCTCGGACCGCGGCTTCCAACGACGATTGATGTCGAGAGCACCGTGCCTGTGGCTCCTGGCGCGGAAAGCCGTTGGGGTCCGCCTGGGCCCGACAGTCGGTGGGGCGACCTCCGCGCAGACAAGGTGGCCAACCAGTGCAAGAACATGATGTTTCTCCTCGGGGCCTGGGCGTCGGGTGGCCAGCTGGACACCAAGTATACAAGGTCCGTGGCTGAGGAAGTGGATGCGCTGTCGAACGCCATTACCATCGCCTACAGCACCTTCGAGTCGGTATTCCCTGGAGGCCCACCTCCCGAGAGTGCGTTCGACCTCGATGCGTTCGTCGACAACACGCTGGACCCGTTGGCGGTACGTTTCCTGGAAGTCAAGGAGGTTGTCCAGAACTTGATGCAGCCTGTCGGGGTCAAGAAGTTGCGCCGCGCTGCGTCTGACCCCGCGGACACCTACGACAGGGCGCTCGAGCAGGTAGATACCTTGCAAGAGACCTTGCAAGAAGAGAGCCAGGCCGTCGCGGATCACGAGGTCGTGCAGGTCGAGGACTCGGTCGAGTGAGAGCGATCCGCCATTCTCGGTTTGTCCAGCGGCGCGACGGCGCCACCTCAAGGATACTCTAGCCGCTAGCCCGCTGTAGACGGGTCTGACGCGGTTGCGTGCACAGTGGTCTTCATCGTCAGCATCATCATCACCATCCACGCATCGGACTACACGGAGGATGCAAGCGTTGGTTCGGGAACAAACGCATTACTTGGAGAGTGCAAGCGCTGATGGGGGAACTACAACAAGTGCACGAAGGTGCAAGCACTGCTTGGGGACTGCAGCCGTCGATAGAAGAGATCATAGGAAATGGTGGACCATCTTGGGCGATCAAGACTAAGACGCTTTAGGAGTAAAACGTTCAATCGAGGACGCCCTAGGAGCACAACGCATACGTGCAAGCACTGTTTGGAACGGGTCTGTTCATTGTGTTGGGCATGCAAGCATTGCTTAGGGAATTCAGCCCCCATTTGGGGGTGAACGCATCGTCTGCATCATGACCATCATCACCATCGCCAGCGTGACCATTGCACTATCACCAGCACCCCACGTCACCACAACTGGAGACATCTAGGCTCGAGCCAGCACCACCGAGCTGACCCCCAGAGCTTCCACCCTCCAGATGGGTAGGAAGCCTAAGCGTGGCAACAAGCGTGCCTTCGTCCAGAGAATTGCTACGTCTCTCAAGATCCAATACAAGCAGGCCCTCTCGTTCGTGAACGCCTACTCGGACGCAGTAATTCAAGGAGTTCGCGAAGATGGCCGTTCGATTCTCCCCAACATCGGCTGTCTCTCCAGGGCGTTGCGCAATCCACGGTCGCAGCTAGACATCAATGAGGCTAACATGAGGTCGGGCGGTGGTATGGCCCAGCGCAAGTACAAGAAGGCCTACATCAAGTTCGCGTCCAAACAGGTGGTTCGCAAGATGTTTGAGGAGGTCGTCGACGAGAGCACCTGGAACCCACAGAGCACCTTCACCTCGTCCAGAGAGCCTTCGCCTCCAGCAGCAGCGCCAGCCTCGACGAGTGGCCAGCCGTGATCGTGGCCAAGGAGTGCCATGAGTAAGTCGTCGAGTCACAAGGCTCGCCCAGCGGTGCGAAGGCACCACTTCGAGGATACTTCAGCGTGCGTGGCAGACGGTCGCTCTTCAGCAGCGCGTGCTCGGGAAAAAAGTGCTTGGAGACTACAGTCTGGAAAAGCATTGCGGCTGTGCGCTTTAGGGAGTGCAAGCGCTGTTTGGTGAATGCAATCAATGTTTGGGGAGCGTAACTGTTTGGGGAGCCCGCTACAAGGTGCAAGCACTGTTTGGAGAATGGAAGCAGTTGCAGGGTTGGGCACCTTAGGCACCTTATGCACCTCAGAGGTGAAGTAACAGCCGAGGGCACTTAGGCAAGCATGCAAAAACGCAAGCACTGTTTGAATAATGCCGTTTCGCTGTTTGGGGAATACGTGCAAGCACTGTTATGGGGATGATATATAGCAGCCTGGGGAACGCAAGCACTGTTTGGGGAATGCAAGCGCTGTTTGGGGATCGCATACCGTTGCTAGCGCACGTACACGGTGTGCCCTTTCGGATTGCACCCACGTCCTACTCCTACCTCTCTTCGTTCCCGTCCACCCCCCCTCTGAGCTCCCCGAGCTCCTCCCCATCCCCCCCCTGTGTCCTCCTTCCCCCATCCGCCCCGCGCCGAGCCCCGGCCCCCCTGGGAGAAACGCCAAAAAAAACATAATAAAACAGAGAAAAAACAGACTGTTTTTCACCCTGTGTTTGTGTCCGTTAGAGTACCCAGGGCCGCCTAGCCGGCACAAAACCGGGATGGAATACAGACTGTTTTTTTGTTTCTGTTTTTTTTCTGTTTTTTTTCACCTGGTTTTCGTTGGCCCCAGGGGCCCAGGGGGCCCCCGTGGGAAGGGCCCCTTGGCCGTAGCCGCTTTGGCTCAAGAGCGCGCTCAGTGCTGGGGCCAGCCGCTCCGTGGGAACCTCCGATGCCGCCGAAGAAGCGCACGTTGGAGGCGCCGACGGTGTCAGCTGACGAGCTCGAGAAGGCAAAGGATCCCCTCAAGGACGCCGACGAGGCCAAGAGAGCTCGCGCGTCCATGGTGCACTGGCTCGAGACGAACGGGGCGAAGAAGACGTACGACGGGTGGCCGATTGGAAAAAGGCGTGAGTACTTCCAAACATGGTTCGCAGATAAGCTCAAGAGTGGAGGCACGGCGAAGTCCAAGAAGTCGGTCACCCTTCTCAAGAAGAACACGATCAAGGTCGCGTGGTGGAGCTTCAACAAAATGATTTCGGAATTCGGAGAGCAGAAGGCGAAGGAGAAGGCAGAGGTTTTCGACAAGGACCCAACCAAATGGCGCCCCGATCGCGACACTGGGAAGGACGGGCCGCGGAGCAGGGAGTACGCCGTCAACCTGGACAGCCGCGAGGAGGGCGACGAGGAGCGGGACACGCACGAGCTCGGCACCGAGGCTGACCTTGACACCGAGGAGAGGCAGATGGAAGCGGAGGCATCATTCGCATCCATGAGGGCATGCAACGCTGGAAGTTCGGCTGCGGGTGCGGGCTTGGTCGCTGTGAAGCAGGAGGAAGGCGAGCCAACGGAGGTGAAGCCCGAGGAGAGCGCGACCTTCAAGGCACTGAAGACGGACGGGAAGAAGGTAGTGTTCAACATCGGGAAAGCGTTGACGATCGCCAAGCAGATGTTCATCGACTCGAAGGGCGGGAAGTTCCTAGGGGAGCTCAACAAGGATATCGCCAACAACGTCAAGGAGATGACGCAGATCTTTGTGTCGGTCGAAGACGCCGTCTTGCAGGGGGCGGACGAGGCCACGATGTTGGCACTGAGCATGAAAGTCGACACGGCCTTCGATGCGCTGAACTCTTCTGTCGAGTGGTTCAATAAGTTCAACCCGAAGGAGAGCCAGCAGAAAAAGCAGAAGATCTGATGTCCTGCATGCGTTTCGGCCCGTCTCGACGGCCAGTCACACAGACGGGGGTGATAGCCAGGTGCAGGGACACATGGCAATGCGTCGGCGTGCTCGCTGGACGGGGCGGCGAGCGAGCGTAGAGAGATTATCAACTGTGATCATCATCCACAACATCATCAAACTCGTGACCGACTGGACTGACTGGACTGACTGACTGGGCTGATTGGCTGATGGACTGACTGGACTGACTGGATTGGCTGAGTGAGTAGGCACCCGACGGTGACTGACTGGACTGGCTGGTTGATGCATCAGCGACTGGACTGACCGACTGGACTGACTGATTGGCTGACTGGACTGACTGGACTGACTGGCTTAACTGGCTGATGGACTGGACTGACTGGCTGGTGGACTGGCTGGGCTGACTAACTGGACTTACTGAGTATGCATCTAATGGTGGCTAAAAGAACTGCCTGGTTGATGCATCAACGAGTAGACTGACTGACTGGACTGACTGATTGATTAGACTGACTGAGTGACTGGGCTGACTGACTTAAAGAGCTACCCACGAGAGAGAGTGCACTCGTGAGGGCGAGGGGCAAGCAGGGGGGCAATGCAAAATGGTTACCCTGCCCACCCACCCACCCCCCGCCCCTCGAGCCACGGCTTTTCGCAAACTGGAACACATGCAGAACGTCATTGCTGCTCCCTCTGTCCCTCTCCCGTCCCCTTCCTCCCCCGCTTTACCCTGCAGCCTTTTTGGCTCAAACCCCAGCGCCGTCGGCGCTGGGTGGACTATGCGCCCAGATGCTTCTATTCACCGTGTGCTTACTCATGCCTCCACGAGGCCACGGCATCCGCCAGAGGTTGGTGCCTGAGCCTTGCCATGCAGATGGCGTCCCAAGAGTTCCCGAGGCGCACGGTGGGCTTCGCAAGCGGATGGCGCCTCAGCGGTGCAACGAGGAGGCCAGCAGCGCTGCGCCCGCCGAGGGCAGGGGCATCAGGCGCCGCGTCGAAGACCTTGAGGGTGCGACGCCTTGCGGAGGAGACGCTCGTGAATCCACAGACCTCTTGCGGAGGAGATGGGCCATGGGATCCATCAGCAGCCCTGACGTGATCAAGTTCGCCAAGGCCGCGGCCTCCCAGGGAGCGCAGAACATCGGCGCTTACGCTGGCACATCCAACCTGCAATCCAAGCTCGCGTTCAGGGCAGTGTGTCGCGCCATTGGCACGCCAGCTCGAGCGCCGCAGATCAGCTGGGCAGAGCTGAAGAACACCAACGGCGACGTGATCTTCCACCCGTTCGTCGACCCGATCGACACGTTGGAGGCATGGTACCGTAAGGGCCCTTTGGTGTTCAACCAACGGATCACTGGAGAAGATGGCGAGACCGCCCAATTCTGGCACGCCCTTCGGGATCACCCGACCTACAAGTGCAATGCTCCGCGTATATCGTCCATTATTGTACCTTTGGGCCTACATGGCGATGCTGCCCCGACGTCGAAAGCCGACGGCCTTTTCACGCTTCAGTTCAATCGCCTGTTAGGCCATGGCGACACGATTGCTACGAGAGATATCGTCACAGTATTCAAGAAGTCGGATCTCGACTTAGACATGTTCGAGCAGATGGTGGATCGCATTGCCTGGAGTTTCAACGCATTGTTCAAAGGCGTGATGCCCGCTCTTCAGCACAACGGCGTGCCTCACCCAGAGGCAGGCAGAACGTTGTGCTATGGGAGAAACTTCGCTACCATTCAGATGCGAGGTGATTGGGAGTACTACTCGGATTTCTTGCACCTCAACAGGTGGAACAGCGCGGAGTGCTGCTACTTGTGCGGCGCGACCCTCGCAGGAGGCGACATGCGCTTCTCTCGGGCTGATCTTGGGGCGGGCTGGAGAGCAACACTTGTCACGCATAACAGTCACCTGTTGGGCTGCCGACGTGGCGGCAGGCGTCTCAGTAACTTCTTCAAGATCATATCTTTCAGGTTTGAGGGCATCATGGTAGATATTCTCCATTGTTTGGACCTGGGCGTGTCCAGCCACCTAATAGCAAACGTGCTCGTCGAAATCATGGTGCGTGGGCAATGGGGCCCGAACAGGGAATCACACATGCAAGGGCTTGTGGCCGACATTAAGCAGTGGTACCGCTCGCATAAGCTCGCCCACAAGCTGCAGGGCGAGCTTGTCTTCGCCAGGCTTCGCACGCAGGCCGACTGGCCGAAGCTAAAGGCGCCTTAGCATGGTAGAAAAAAAAAATCCCCCAACAATCACCACCGCCCCCTCCCGCCTCCGCCCCTTCCCAGAGGTGCGGGGAGGGAGGGAGGGGGTCGGACGGGCCACCAAGGAGGGACGATGGGTGGAGGAGCCGAGGTGGAGGGATTTGCAAGGGAGCAACTCTTCACGACGTATGTGCATACATACGTGAATATGCATACACGTGTGCATACGCATATGCATGTACATGTGCATGTATGTGCATAGACAGACATGGGCATGTACTGTGCATGCATTGGCACGCCGTGTGCATATACACTTACGGGCCCCTATACATGAACGCCGCACGCACACACATGAACCTCGCAGTTCGTATGGTTGCCCATACACGCTAACATACACACATACTTGTGAAACACGTGTACGCATACATGCAAACATATCCACGCGCACGCGCTCACCCATCATCACGTACACGTACACGGATACACGCTATGCATGTATAGGCATGTGTACGTGTACATGTTTGTACGGGTATGAGCATGCATACACACTTACCCTTACACACACGTATGAGAGTGCAAGTCGTGCCCGAGTACGCATACTTGCACCTGTTCATGTTTAACAGCACACGCGTGCATATGACTGAGCCTTCGTTTGCATGCGCGTGCATGCATGCACACGCAGAACTACATGTAACAATACGCATATAAAATACACACTCACGAACGCTGTGATGTATATATATACTATTTGCGCACACAAGAACAAATCTAACCACATTTAGATACGCACCTGTGTGCAACAGCTAGTTTACATCTATAGAAACGCAGCTGCAAACATACATGCAACACCACATTGGCTTGCTCTGCAATAAGCTGTAATTGCACATCATGTGTATCCGTGCGACGTGGATGGAGTCATATTTTCATGTTGCACAATAAAACATCTATTCATATGTGTGTGTACTTGTACTTGCACATGCACATACGAAAGGACTTGCTATGTGGCCGTCGGCCCATCCCGCCACCGTGCCTGTGCTTGTGGGCCAGAGGCTGGTTTGATGTTCTGTTGGGTCGCCTGAAACCTCTTCTATGGGCTTCTTGGGTGCCTTTAGGGCCTCCTGAGGGCCCCTTGGGGATCTCTTGGGTCTTGGGGACCTCGTGGTCCCTCTTGGGGTCTAACATCGTTGGGCATGTTGGGTGCATCTAGCCCCCCCCCAAAAAAACACACACACACACACACACACACATATCTATGATACATGCGTGTGCGACCCAGCAGGCAACAGCTGCTGCCACCCGTTGCCTCGTCCCATACGCGGCGGATTTGGCCAAGCGCTACAATTCGGGCTCCGAGCACGATCGGTTGCGGCTTGCTGCGTGCGAGCTCCTCGCGCGCTTTTACGATTTGGCATACGAGAATGACATGTTCCCACCCCAGCCAGTGAAGGACGAGATGGCGCAGCTGGCCCGTGCTTTCATGAATGTGTATGGGAGACTTTCGGTGGGAGCAATTGCAAACGGAATCAGGGCATGGAAAATGACACCAAAATTCCACATGTTCGTTCACATGAGCGAACACCAGAACGTGATCAACCCTCGCTTCTACTGGACCTACAGCGACGAGGACCTGCAACGGATCATGAAAGAGATCGCGAAGAGCCTCCACCCAAGCAGTTTGGCCCATATGGTGTTGTTAAAGTGGTTGGTGCTCCAATTCGACTGTTAATGGAGGCGTGCTTATGGAGAGGCAAAAAGTGTTCCAGTGTGGACCCCAAATTGTAAGTTTCCCTATCTAGCGCGGACCCAACGAATGTCTCCAAAATGGATCCCGAACAGTGATGTAGGTATATGCATATGTATGTGTATATCACGGTTACAGTGATGCTCAAAACTGTGACTTAGCCTACGAGTGCGTAACACAATGCACCACGGACCCAGAACAGTGATTTACAAAACCCAGGCTCGGACCACTAAATAGCCCAAACAAGCTCCACACGTCGATTTGAAAATATAACCCGCCGACTCGATCGTGCCTCTCCATCCGTTGGTTATGACATTTGGTCCATCCGTTGGGCGCCGTGTTTCGGCGCCCAACGGGCCCATGGGCCGCCTTTCGGGGGAGTTCCTGGCGAGCCTCACGGGGCTCGTCGCCTAGCTGACTGACGTGCAGGGCTGGGAGGCGGTGGAGTCCTCCAGGGGCACGTGTCCAGCGGCCTTCGGCTCACCGCCACGCGTGGGGTTCCTCTTGGACCTCTTGGAGGCCCCTGGGCTGGCCCTGGGGGGCTGGTCGGGTCCCTGGGAACGGGAGGCGGGGGGGGAGGGTTGGCGAGGAGGAAAGGGACGGGGGGGAGAAGGAACCTGAGAGGAGGATGAGGAGGAAGATGAGGATGAGGAGGAAGAGGAGGTTTGTTAAGATGAACGGCCGCATCGCAGACGTCGGCGGATATCATCGCCACGCCAACGGTGCTGCTCGCCTCTGCGTACCAGGTCCCACGTCCAGCACGACTCGTATAGGATAGCGGTTGGTGACAGCCCTATTGAATCCAGAATGGAATGCGGCCACGCATATAATATATAATACCCCGAGGGCTTGCGCAACCGAACGAGGCTGTGAATACGATAGCCGTGTTGCGTCAACAATGGTTCACGGCCCCGTAGGTGGGAAGCCGATGGTTTGCGCCATTGGCCATTGCATCGAAGGTGCGAAACCGATGTTTGTTCTCCATGGCCCACGGCGGCGAAGCCGATAACCTGCGGCGTTCAACATTCACCTTTTATGTCGAAGATAAGTTTGATACCCGTTACACGTGATTACGTTTGCAAGTAGTGTAATCCCATTGCTTTCGCAACGGTCTCCTGATCGCTATCGGCCGTATTATAGCTTCTGGGTTGCGTGCGCTCGGCAGGCAATACACAAACTAACAATCAAATACACAACAACCAAACACACAGACAAACAAGCAAGCAACACACAAAGGAAGCTAACAAACGAACACAACGATCACGCAATCACGCACGACATGCATCACGTAAGCTTAACCTAACAACACACACGCAAACGGGCAAACGAACAACCTCAATCAAACAAGCGCCACCACGAACATACCAAACGAACGATGCAAAACCAACGCGCACGCCTAGAAACAAATAAACCCACGAACGATACGAACAACGAGAAACAACGAAACAACCAAAACGACGCCCAAGCAAAAACGACGCCTCGGGGCGTCATTTTATGTAAAATGGCGCCCTCTGAGCGGCATTATGACGCGTGCGTTGCAGAAATGACGCGCGCGCTCTATGAAACCACGCGCGCGGGATCTATGATGGTGCGCGCGGGGAAAAGATGGCGCATGCGCCAAACAAATGACGCTTCAAGGGGTCGGGGTGTCGCCGCACGGAAGACCCGCACGGAAGACCCCCTGTCGGGCACCCGGGCACCGGGGCACCCGGGCACCCAGGCACAGCAGGCACCCCGGCACCGGGGCATCCGGGCGTCCCCCGGGCACCCGGGAAGGAGGAGGGAGGATGAGGAGGAGGAGAAGGAGGAGGAGTGAACGTCGGGCAGGCGTCCAGCGCAATCCGAGCCGAGGGTAGAGCCAGAAGGAGTAGGAGGTGGAGGGGACCGGGAGGACCGTTTCGGCCGTTCGAAAAAGCACCTCATCCATGTCCTCCTCCTCCTCCTCCTGCTCGTTCTCTTCCCCCTCCCTTCCATAATCAGACTATTCCTCCGCCGGCTCGGCTCGGCCCGGCCCGGCCCGGCTCGGCCAGCGGAGGAGGAGGAGGAGGGAGGAGGAGTGGGAGTCAGTCGAGCGGAAGATCGGGACAAATCGGAACCAGAGATTCTGGGAGAGTTCCAGAGAAAAATTGAACGCCGATTTGTGGAGCGTAGCGCGCGCAGTCGCAGAAGTTCCCAAAGAGTGCTACTTAGGCTTGAGGAGCCCAAGTAACACATGGGCGCTCAATTAAACTGTTGAGGGCGGGCAGAAAATCTGGTGTGCACGAGCATTGTGAGCGGGTGCGCGGCTTGCCCGGGGGGCACAGTAGGTTTGCGTTTCAGGGGCTTGGGCGCTGGCCACTGCGCTGATGGGGGGCCCGAGAATGCGTCACACATATTACGCCTGCGGCGCCATGGAGGCCGCATTTGCGGTTGCAGTTGGGCGGGCGCCCCGCCGCGCGCACCGTGGCGAGAGCTCTTTTGGGCGCCCGCCCGCCGCCGTGGACGTAGTGGGCCCAGCTAGTCTCTCGGTCGGAGCGCGGCGGGTCGGCAGCCACGACGCTGGCGGCCTGAAAATGCTTCGAAAGTGTTTATCCCCGAGCCCGGGGCTATTGTTCGTTTTCGGTGGCACGCGCAGCTCGGAGAAAAATCGCCTAGTCCGTCGGCGGCCAGTTGGCTGTCGTCGCGCAGAAGTACCGGCGGATGGCGCGGTCCACGCTCAGCGCAAAGAGCGTGTCCATGAGCGTGGACTCGCCGAGGGGCAGGAGGAAGGACCTCGCGGTCGGGACCATCGCGGCCCGCGATGTCCACGGCCCCCACCCTGGGCGCGCGAGGACCTGCTGGGCGCCGCCGCAGCGCGATTTCAGAGGATCTCGGAACCAGAAATCCGGGCGCGCCAAATTTCGCGGGCCAAAAAACTCTCAGAGAGTTTCGGCCAGCTCCGAGGTTTTGGGTTTATGGGAATGTTTCACGCGGGGTGGCTCGTTCAGAGATTTTCAGAGATTCTCAGAGAAGTTCGGACGCGAGAATTTGGCGCGCCCCGGTTTCTGGTTCTGTGAATCTCTGAAAAGCGGTTCCTTCGGTTTTACCGGGTCTCCAGGCGTCCTACTGTCAGCCAGAGACGAGCGACTGGCTGGCGCCGCGCCCGATGCTTCCGGAGTTGCGACCTCGGTCTTCGATTCCCTGGGGCCCGCGGGCCCCTGGGCCAATTGCGAGTTTGCCGAGGCCCCCAGGCGGTTGCGCGCGATTGTCTCGGAAACCGGAGTTGGGCATCCATGGTGGTCGCCCGCGCTCGCGCGATAGGTGTCCGCGAGATTGTTCGGTGGCGGATCTTGCATGGCGCGGGGATTTTCCAAAGACTTTCCGGGGTGTTCTCCACGGTTATTTCGGCGCGCTTCCGGAACCTTTGGGCGGCGCGGGAAAGTCGCCTGGCCGCGCGCGTGATTTTGTTTCCAATGCCTTCTTGGGCATTATCGCGGTGTTGCTTGGCCCAAGAGGTCACTGAGTAACGCGATTTTCGTCATTTTCGTTTTTTTTCGTTGCGTTGGTTGCGCGATTGTTTTGGCGGTCCGCCTCCTTGGGGCCCCCTTTGGGCCTCAAGTTTGTTTTGTTGACGTCGGGCCTTCTGGAGTGAAAGGCGCTTGGCGCTGAATTCTCTCGGTCGTGCGCGTGGCCAAATACGCGCCGTGGCTTCCGCCGCGCCTGGGCGCTTTTCTTCCCTCGCGAAGCCGATGGCGCCCAAGGCGTGGCAGGCCCGTTCGGCGGCGCCCCCGGTGATTTGAAAAACCGAGCATGATTTTTATCCCGGTCAAATTTTGCCCGATCCCGGCTTCATCTTAGGGAGGATGAAGACAGGACAGGGGGGGGGAGTAGGAGGAGGAGGAGGAGGAGGAGGAGGAGGAGGAGGAGGAGGAGGAGGAGGAGGAGGGGGAGAAAGAGCGAGGAGGCGGGGAGGGACATGAGCAAGGGGAGGCGGATGAGGACTAATTTCGTGGAGGAGCAGGCGTTCGCAACCGGCGCAGCATCCAGGCAGAAGAGGAGGAGGAGGAAAGAGCAGGAGGAGGAAGAGCAGGAGGAGGAGGAGGAGGAGGATGAAGAGGAGGAAGCGCAGGAGGAGGCCCGGTTCGCCTGAGACATCCTCAAAGCTCTGGGTTCCGAGACGTCCTGACCTGAGTTGGTCAGACCACTTTCGCCTGAGACATCCTCGAAACTCTGACCTCGGAGGTGCCCTGCCCCACGGTGGTCCGGGCACTTTCGCTTGAGACACGCTCGCATTTCTGGGTTCCGAGACGCCCTGAGGTGAGGTGTTCACTCCGATCTCGCCTGAGACATCCTGCGATCTCTGACCTCGGAGGTGCCCTGCCCCATGGTGGTCCGGGCACGTTCGCCTGAGACATCCTCGCAACTCTGGGTTCCGAGATGCACTGAGCTCTGACCTCGGAGATACATTGCCCCAAGGTGGTCTGGCCACTTCCGCCTGAGACCCTCGCCACTCTGAGTTGCGAGATGCCCTGAGCAGGTGGTCTGGCCACTACCGCCTGAGGCATCCTCACAACTCTGACCTCTTGGGGCCTCCGGGGGGGCCTCTTGGGCACTCTTGGCCAGGGCCCAGAAACAAAACCAGGCCAGGGCCCAGAGACAAAATCCGAAACGCCCCAGAAACAAAACTTGAAACACAACTTGAAACAAAACCCTTGAAACAATTGTCCGGCTGTGGAGCCGCCTGTCGGGACACACCGCCCTATGCATGTGTGATGTTAACCCATGCGCGCCCCGTATGATTCACACATAGGTATCATATTCAGCTAGGGGGGCATGGTTGTATATCTGTATATCTGAGACCACAGCACACGTATATCTATGAACATCTCTGACCTCATATCATACGTACATGTATCTACATGCATGGTACAGCATCTTACGTGCGTGCATGTACATGCAGTGTGTCAATGT